AGACATTGGTATACCCTTTACCCAGATTCACCAGCTGTTAGCATTTGCCCCTTTCTTTGTTGTGTCTCTCTACACACGCATGGGCATGCATACCTATGCACAAAATCTTTCTTCTAAACTATTTGAGGATAAATTATATGTATTACCAACCTTTACTCCTAAATACTTCAGTGTGTATTTCTTAAGGTAAGGAACATTCATATAACTATAAAGTTACCAACTTCAGTAAATTTAACATTGATGCAGCCTTCTTATCTACTGCCCATCTTCCAGTTTTGGTAGTTTGAGTCAACAATATCCTTCATTGTATTTCTTGTCCTCTGATCATCTAGGGTCAGTTATCACATTGAGTTGGCACAGCTCTTAGCCTGTTAATCTCAGACGTTTCCTCAGTCTTTATTTGAGTTACATGACACTGACATTTTAGAAGAATGTAATTTTCTCCCTTTAAAAAAAAAATAGAACATTTCTCCTTTTGTGTTTGATGTTTCCTTGTAATTAGATTCAGGTTATGCATCCCTGAATCACCTAGGCCAAATATGACCTCGATGATCTTGTGTCCTCCTTAGGCTGGCACATCTGGAGGCCCATGGTTTTGAGGCAGGCATTCGTAACCAGGGGAGACACCAGTGTCTCTCGAAGTCTTCAAAATACAGGAACCCATGGGCCAGGAGTCCACGCCAACCTCTGCCCCATTCACAAGCTGGGTAGGTGAAGCCCTATGAAGCCAGCTGTACAGATTTGGAATGAAACTCCTGGGTGATCCCGAGGCACCCCTCTGGGTCACAGCCGCAGCTTTTAAATAAGGATTTGCACGTTAATGTAATATTAGAGTCTTAATAAACAGAAGCCTTTTTTTTTTTGGTATTTAAAAGAAAGTATATGCCCTACCTAATTCTCAAGTAGATTTGAAGAAGCAGTTTATTATGAGAAAACATAAATATGAGAAATGATAAAAAAAAAATAAGAAATAAGAAGGTAGACAATAAAAATCAGTAAAGAAATTGTGGTTAAGGGAAAACAAGAGTGGGAAAATAAAAGTAAGCCAGGGCTAATGTTAGTACAAAAAATGTATGCTGTGAGTTGCTGTACCTCCAGAGAAGCAGGCTACAGATTTGGCTCTGGGCTTTCTAGCAGTCTGTACAAAAAGGGAAACACGAACAGTTACATGATTCCCAGTGCTTAGAAAGCAGGAGAGGGCAGTTACATAATTTTTATTATGTAATATTTCCTGCATCCAAAACAACATATGTGCTGCATCTGCAGGCTAGGAACCATGACAATAAAACCAGCACCCGCAAGCCCGCCACACATCGCCCGAAATAGACCATTTCAGTGCTGTGTAAGCTCTCTACCCTTCAGAATTTTTCCAAGTAGGTGTGTTCCTTATATAATTTAAAAACAAGTTTAAATATTTTTTTTTTTTTTTTTTTTTTTTTTTTTTTAGTTTTACTTTTTTTTTCCAGGCTGGAGTGCAATGGCGCGATCTCGGCTCACCGCAACCTCCGCCTCCTGGGTTCAGGCAATTCTCCTGCCTCAGCCTCCTGAGTAGCTGGGATTACAGGCACGCGCCACCATGCCCAGCTAATGTTTTGTATTTTTTTTTTTAGTAGAGACGGGGTTTCACCGTGCTGACCAGGATGGTCTCGATCTCTTGACCTCGTGATCCACCCTCCTCGGCCTCCCAAAGTGCTGGGATTACAGGCTTGAGCCACCGCGCCCGGCCTTAAATATGTTTTTTTAAAAGACTGGATGGTCAGACAACTGCTTCACACAGTTATTTCTGGTGCTAAGACCCAAGGATAGTCTCATGGGTCAGCAGTTTCTACGGATCTTCATAGAAAGCATGTGGTCATGTGCTGAAGAGCAGATGACCTTGACCACTTCCTCTCGGTGTAACAGGAATATCTCAGAATGACTGGCTCTATCAGCTTTTCCACCATGGACAGACAGTAGATGTGGAGTCTTTGGGACATGGCCACAGTGATTAGCATGCCGAAATCTTAGAGAAACAGCCATTTTTAAAAGGTCAGTAAAGTCACCATTGGATATTCAAGTCTTAGAAAAGTAACTTCCTCAGGAGCCCTTCAGAAGAAGGGCTTTAAGTCAGAGAATATGGCTGACTCTCTGTCCACTGTCCAGTTAACATTCGGAGGGTTAGGATGCAGAGTGTGCTTACCGGAAACTGTGGCTTTCTCACAGCGATTAGCATGGCAGGATGTGTCTAGTAGGAGCGCTCCTTTCTTCCTCTTTCCCATTTATTTGTTAATTCATCAAGGACTTAGTGTTTTCTAGGTTCAGTTTATAAAATCCCATCATATTTTATATATAAGAGCCGTCCTTATATTTCTGTCTTCTCTAGGAGGAGTGATGTATCCAACTTATTTAAAACTGATGTTGGCTGGGCATGGTGGTGCACGCCTATAATCTTAACACTCTGGTAGTCCAAGGCCGGCAGATTATTTGAGCCCAGGAGTTCGAGACCAGCCTGGGCAACATGGGGAAAACCTATCTCTACAAAAAATACAAAAATTAGCTGGCTTGGTGCTGCACGCCTGTAGTCCCAGCTACTCAGGAGGCCGAGGTGGGAGGATCACTTGAGCTCAGGAGGTTGAGGCTGCAGCAAGAGGAGATTGCCCCACTGTATTCCAGCCTGGATGACAGAATGAAACCTTGTCTCAAAAAAAAAGAAGAAAGAAAAAAACTGATGACATGTTATTAAGCACAGTTTAAAAGGGAGCAGGGGTACAACCCAGCTGGTTATCCCACGAGAAGTCACCGATGCCATCTGTCAGGAGACAGTCCCACCACCCGACTGTTACGTTAACATCAAAGCACAGATCTAAACACTGGAAACCAGGGGAGGGAGGATGAATTATGTTTAGCTTAGTGATAACCATTTTCTTTCTACTGAGACATTAGCTTAGGAACACACAATAAAAGCTCCAAAAACCTTTTTATTATTTCTAGCCGATTTCTCTAACAAGGTGATAAAAAGTGGATGAGGGGTCATTGTGAAAGTATAAAAGAATATTGTTGTTGACTAGGCATGCATACATAAAATTGATTTATGATATCTAAAGAGTTCAGATGTGTGAAGAAGGAAATTAAGGTATAGTTTAGATACAATGTCCAGTGACTGGACTGATAGATTTAGGATTTGGAAGAAGAAGATTGCTTGCTTTTTTTGCTAATTTTTTAAAGGGATAAATTCTACTCTAGGGCCCAACATAATGCCATTAATTTCAAGATGAATACGTGGCACAAATCAGCCCCCCTCACAGAGCGGACTTGGGTCAGCTCACCGGCAGGTGCTGTGTTGAGCTTGAGTGTTACTGTGAATTACATACTGTAAAGGAGCTTGGCCCGGCCCTGCCGCAAAACCGTTGGTGTCCATAAAGTTTGGTATGCTTGATACTGGTTTTTATAACTGGCAGTTAACAAGAATCTGGGCTTCTGCCAACTTTCTCACTGTTGAAAATTCAAAAGGGCCCACTAAATAGAGCCCTTCTTTCCCTGAGTTCTGAACCAACTGAAAAATAGCACAAAAGAGTAAAGGAAAAAGGAGCTGAAAATATAACTGTTGGTTTTTGACAAAGCTTATGTTGGAGAATGCGGATCTTTTTTTTTTTTTAGACAGAGTCTCGCTTTGTCACCCAGGCTGGAGTGCATTGGCACAATCAAGGGTCACTGCTGCCTTGACCTCCTGGGCCCAAATGATCCTCTCACCTTAGCTTCCTGAGTAGCTGGGACTATAGGCATGTGCCACCATGCCTAGCTAATTCTTATTTATATTTTGTAGAGATGAAGTCTTACTATGTTGCCCAGGCTGGTCTCTAACTCCTGGGCTCAAGTAGTCCCTCCAGCTTTGGCTTCCCCAAATGCTGGGATTACAGGTGTGAGCTGCCACACCTGGCTGAGAATATGGATTTTGTTTGTAGGTAGATGGGATCCCA